TATCACGATTTTCTCCGATCGTTCGCGGTGTCGCCTCCGGGGTAACCGACTCCTTCGCCGGTTCTCTGCCTGCGGTGCGTCCCCGTGAAATGAAAAAAATCAAAACCGTCATCATCAGACCACCGTTCAGGTCAGGTGGGGAGAGGGGTGAATAGAACCTCTAACGACCAAACCTTTGACGGTGGACAACGCCGTAGAGTTTATCGGCCTGGTGTTACGCAGGACACGGCGTACGCTCACGGTATCGTCGTCGCTGTTGGCCGTCCAGTATTCGGTGTCGTCTGCCTCGTTCGCGTTCGCGACCCGACAACCGACCTCCACGGTTTCGGTGCTCGCGTCCACGGTCACGGTGACGGTCTGACAACCGCGGTCCTGGGCGACGACCGCGGGCGACTTCGGTTCGACCGACCGAGCGACGCACGCGCCCGCAAAAGCCCAACACTGTTCATGCACGTACACGTGGCAAACTGTTGACGCGAAACGGGTGACGATGGATGGGAACGACGCCACCGCACCGCCATCCGACAGATTTTTTTTTTAGTTTACCGTACATTTTATCGTGCGAACCCGATCTAATGGTTACCGGTGCATTCGAACATCCGCGGCGAGTAAATCCTCCGTGAGTCGCACGCGACGCATTTCGTCCACCAGAACCCTCTGAAATGTTTGCCGGACGACGTAGGCATCCCACCGCTGTCTCTCAAACACGTGATGTGCACGCAGCTGCTGCAGTCGTACGGTCCGAAAATGCAATACACAATGTCACGATGACCGCTCCACGTCTCGCGTGTACCATACTCACGTTTGTTCCCCCATCTCTGCACTGTTGTCCGCGTAGGTGCGTGTCTTCTACGAAAAGATTCGAAACCTGTTCACGAACCTAACCTGTCTTCGAATGTACGTTGACAATACTTGTTACTGTACAGGTTAAAATATCGCAAACATCGAATGACGTTGTCCTCGGAGGTTTTCCACTTCGTTAACTTTATTTTAACGTCGAACATTTTCCCCGGCAACGAGATTTGTTTTTACGCGTGGCCAGTATATTATAATAAATATTAATAGTACATTCACCGATAAGACTTGTTTCAAAAGTAATAATACTTATAGGAGATATTGACTTCTTTCTATTAAACGATGATGGTAATTTTAAAAGAACACGAGAATTTAATAGAATGCAATGTGCTGAAAAATTTCTTATTTTCTCTAAAGTCTTAATTGATTCTAATTCTTCTTCGGGTGGATTAATTAGAGGTGTTAAATTGTTAACAACCTATGGTGGATTTATAACATTTGGTTCACCAACTTTCACAGTTAATTTATTTTTTATTTTCAACTTCATACTTTTTTCTTTCTTATTTTTATTTGGATTTTATTATTATTATAATTATTAAAAGCATTATTTGTATTTGATTTTAATTTATGTATTTAAACGTATTTTTTATATTTTTTATTACACTAATTAGTTATTGGCAAAATGATAAATAATAATTTAAAAATATTCATTATAATATATAAGTGCCTGAGTGTATAATGTACTAATAAAAATCAAAATTAAATTTGGTTATAAAGACATCTGGCTATTATGACATATATTTTACGGTTCCTTGACCGTCGTTATTGGTGTATGGACTGTATTTACATTCACTAAAAATAAATACGAACAGTTTAGGAGTTAAATATAATTAATATATTATTTTTATATTTTAAATGGCAATTTAGGCCATTGGTTATGAGACAGTGTTTTGGTTAGTAAATAATTAGTGGTTTTTTTGTGGGGGCCATGACTGTGTTTTTTAAAATTCCATGGAGTCATATAGTCTGGGATCTAGAGATGATGGATAGTAAATACACAAAGAATCAATTGAAAATGGTTGTTAATTATTGTGCCACATCATAATCTAGGTTGTCATTGGTTTTATAAATAAAAAATTGTTTGCATACATTTTAAATTTCTAAATTTTCGAATTTAGTCGAACTAACGGTTTTTAAACGATCGCCGTCAAAACTATTTGGAACTTAAAAATAATTTATTTCACTTTAAAATAGAAATAAAATAATGGATATTGATATAGAAATTTATATCGTAATCAAAAATCGTACGGACAAAACTGTCGTGTGTGAAGGGGTCTTAGAAAATATATTTTGAATGTTCGGGTACACGTTTTGAATCAATTTTGTTACAGTAGGTACTGAATTACAGAAAGTTTTAATATTTATTTTATCATTCGTTGCTTGAAATTCGCCATTGCCTATTAAAAATAAATCTTTGACAAAATTTATATTATCTTGACCGGTACATAACACTCTCATATTATTTTTAAATTATAATAGTTTTATGTATGGCCAGTGGTGTATTGGAGGGTATACGCGGGTATACGCCGTATACTCGGATCCCTATTTTTGGATTTATGCGTATATCTTTAAGAAAATTCGTTATACAACAACAGTATAGAATTTATTATTATTATTATATACTATAGCCACTATCCAAATATAGCCTCGTGCCGCATAAACTTCGATTAAATTTTCCCAGACTTCGGGTATTTGCAAAGACGATCAGAAACTGCCAAGCGTCTAAATACTGTAACATCAGGCCTGGTGCACACTTGCGTTATTTTAACGCGCGGCAACGCTGCGGCACCGCGGCGATGACGCCGTATTCAATACACACCTAGCGGCAAATATACATACCTATATACATATACATAACGTTATGTATACCTATATACATAACGTCATACATACGTACGGTCACAAGCGATGGAAATTTATAAAAGAAAACGTATTATTTTTGCGTACCTTGTGTACAAAACGACGATAGTGTGCACTGACCAATATGATACAATGAATTGAGCGACCGCAAGTGAAGTCGCGGTGACGCTGCGGTGCGATAACAACTTGCGGCAAAAACTTTGTCGCAGACGGACGCGCGTCACCGCAGCGTTGCCGCTGTGATGTGTGCATTACGCAATTAAATTTTGGGTTTTCCATGCCGCGTTTGCGGTGCCGCAGCGTTGCCGCGCGTTAAAATGACGTAAGTGTGCACCGGGCCTAAATAATACCGGTGGACGCGTGCGATATTGTCTTGTCGAGCGGATATTATAATTGTTAAAAATAGATCAACAGTCAAAAAGTTCTGTTTATAAATTTATCACAATATTAACCGATCTGTCTACGATGTTTTGGATAGATTGTGATTATAAATTATTATATTGTTATCAGTTTGTCACTTAGTATTTATTCGTCGCATGTTTGTGCAAATTACTTTAAATTAATACTAAAATATTATTACACATAATAAAACATTAGGTTTCATGAACATAAATATTACGTTTCATATATGATATATACTTATGAGTTTATTAAAGATAAGTTTAATATATAGACTTCCATGGCAGACATGAATCCATGGGGACTAAGGAGGCGCGCGCCCACTTCAAATCCCCCAAAAATACTTTTGTTGAAAAGTTGTACACCCCCCTCTTAGAAAAAAAGTCTGGCGGGGATATATCCCACGTTCCCATCATATTATGTAATTTTGAGTTTGGGTAGGTAGAACATTTTTTTTTAAGAGGTTAATCCCCCCCCTCTCCCACTAATAAACGCTTATGTGCTGAGCGTATATCCTAGAAAAAAATTACGAATACACCACTGTGTATGGCCATAAGTAGAATTTTTTCAGAAACGCATTGATTTCATCAGCTCTTGTCCTTCATGCAATCACAGGCAAGAGCTGACGGAATTCTCCAGAGAACAACACTGTGCAGCCAACCATAGGACTATTATTATGATGCAAGTCTCGCATCGTTCTATCTAAAGCGTCAATTGAAGATTTTTGGGAAGCTTCGTCCCAAAGAATTAGACTACAATCCTGCATCAATTTACCAGTATCACTTTGCTTTGAAACGTTAAAGACACTCGTAGCATTGTCACTATCATATTTCAAAGGAAGTTTATATGTAGAATTAGAATAAAACTAATAGCATAGTTGCGACGCCAGACGATGCAACCGCAAGAGCAATTTTGCTACCATATCTTTTGCAAGAAGTAAATTTATCAAAAAAGTTTTACCCATGCCCCCGGGAGCATCTAAAAGTAATATTTTTCCTTCATTATTGTTAACAGATAAATAGATAATTTCACTGAATCGTATACAATTCTTTGTTCACGGTTTAATGTATTTTCATTTTGAACGTACAGTAATAGTTGGTATTGATCGTAATAATTATTTCTAAAAATTAATTCGCTCTCTCTCTCACTCTCTCTCTCTCTCTCTCTCTCTCAAACACTTAATATTAATTGTTGTCCCATTTATGTTTATCGGTAAAGGAAAACCAAAATGTATCATAGATTTGCTCGATAAAATTTCCATTTCTTTATTTAATTCAAATAAAGATTCGTCATAACATCAGCGTACGGGTTGATATCGAATGCGGCAATCGGTAGTATAATATTTGTATTAATAGATGTAACGAGTATTCGGTATAAATGTGGTTGGGGTACTTGCGATAAATTTCGCGGAACAATTCATATCTACACGCCGATATTAAACACAATTCGACGAACAAATGGTCAGGTTCCAGGTAGCTGAAAACCCGCGGACCGCTGTGCCGCACTATATGCATATGTAGGTAAACAATTTACACGTTTATTTTAATTAATAATAACTAATTATTTATTAATTTTATGGGACTAAATTTATTCTATAAACCTTCTCTGTGATGTCCTCTTTAATTTAAAAAAAAACTGCACGACGATTGACTGAGTAGTTTCGGAGTTAATCCCGAACAATAAAAAATGATTTCATTTTATTTATATAACGAAAATAAATAAAATGTGTTGGTTAATTAATTAATTAATAGAAAATTAATATTATTCTGACATGATAATATCAACCACGGTTCCTACACTATAAATATGTTGGTTTTCTCTTTATTCTTTTCATTCCGCGGATAGTGTATAATATACCTATTTTAGAGTAAATATGAATAGATGATTAGAGTATATACGAATCACAGCAAACAATTGCCTCGTGGTTTTTCATTGATTTAAACAGCACGCCTCCTCAATCCGAAATTGTACCGTACGGAATCCATACCTAACCCTCGAGTAATCATTTCGTCACGTCATGTTGCCCGATCAATATTGACTCCGTCCGGACTGAAGTTTGATCGCAGCTGCGGTATGTTCGAATTATTCTTGTAAGTTACCAGCTGAAATATTTTAATACTAAATACATATGGTAAAGTGCGATTGAAAATGTTTTTGTTTTATTTTAAATGGTATTCTAATCAAATTCAAAACAGTGCCACTGTTAAATTTCCATAAAACAATACACTAATATTATCGATAGTTAAGGTTTCGGTCTGTACACACGTACAGTTTATATGAAGAGCATTTATATTCGTAACATAGTTTTCGATATTATAATTCGGTATCCCATTGCTTCGACTATAAACCAAAAATTGAATGGTCTTTACGGAATTTCAATCTCATCAACTTATCAATCAATTATGAATATTGATTTCATTTTTTTACTGTACCAAATACTCTATCAATGTAACCTCGGCTTAAGTGATGTCAAATTTTGGTTAATTGATCATAAATATCGAGCGAGAAAAGTAGTCCCGCGCAAGACAGTTGTACAATCGAATTACAGGTGGTGGGCGTCCACGAAACAATGTTATTTTTATCATTTGTAATGATGAATAAAAATTTCGGATTTGCCTATTTTTATTTCCTGTTTACCAAAGACAATTATCTTTATCCACATGGCCATGAAAGAATATATTTAATATATAAATATATCACTATACATTATATAAGTGGCGTAGTCAGAAAACTATTTTGAAGGTGTAGGGTTGAATTTTCAATAATATGTTTACATAACATTGTTCCTTTGTCTTAAAATGATTGTATATCTTACAAAATACATATTTATATAACAATATATTTAATAACAAATACATTTCCGTGAGGGTTTTATCACCAATTATCCTCCCCCCTTTCTTGGCTATGCCGCTGCATTGCTACACCTAACAATACCTGAATTGCTCCTGTAGTTTCTATAACTAACCATAGGTTTTTGAATTTTTCAATTGTTAATTTCAACCGCTGCTATAACAGGTTTCTAAAAATAAACTATAATTACCAATAAATGCGATTTTCACTATGACTTGTCATTTATGTAACTCGTCTTCCCTTATGAAGACGTAGATTGTCGGTTTTAAATTTTTTTATTTTAATATTTCAAATTTCCTATTCTATAGTAAATTCTTCCATCTATTATTTTCGTTTTCATTAAAAATAATAACTATCTAATATCTTCTTTTATTATAATTCCCATAGATATACAACTGTAAATATAAATCACGAACACGCAGCTAAATATAAATCACCGTAAATAAACTGTGAGTATAATTAATAATTACATAAGTAGTTGAATCTATATTTACGAACTTGACGAGAAGACTTTGACTGTGCATTGACAAACATTTAATTGACTTTTTAGACTTCAAACAACTTGTTTCTTTGGTTTTATTTTGGAAAATGATGCTGTACGTTATTATTGACTTATAGATTGCTTGATGTATAAAAAAAATTATGATAAGAGAGTGTTAACAAATTATGAAGATGTGAAGAATATTTTGAGAGTTTTACTGAACGATCCAAAAAAAGCATTTAGAGAGTATTTCATGAAATGGAGGATTGATGGGGTTTAGTTAGTGAAGTAGAAGTGAATGTCGCGAAGAAGGCGATAAAAAAGAAAAAAGCGGTTGAACCTGATGGAGTGCTTATAGAGGTGTGAAAAATTTTAGGGTATGTAAGCATTATATAGTTAAAAGATCTTTTTAATAAGGTATTAATAAAGGTAAAAATGCCAGAATATTGGAGAAAGAGTTTTATTAAACCAATATTTAAAAACAAAGGAGACATATAGGAATGTGAGAACTATAGAAGAATAAAGCTTTATGAGTCTTAGTATTAAGATTTGGGAACAGATTATAGAGAAGAGAATTAGAAGTGAGACATCTAGAAATCAATATCGGAAGATCAGTTTGGTTATGCCAAGAAAATTGAAAACAGAGTATATAGAGTATGAATTTGAAGGAAGATACCAAGAAGTGGAGGGGATGAGAATACCAATAACAATATGTGATTAGATGATAGATAAAGTCAAGAACTTTAAATATTTGGAATCATTTATATAAAAGAACGAGTGCTTTAGTGAAGCATTAGTTTTTTTATGTGATAAAAAAATTCCAATGAGGCTGAAAGAAAAAGAAAAAAGAAAAATGTTCATTATTATTTTATTATTAATTGTTAATGTTTGATTTAGATTAGTATTTAATTGATTCATCGTATCATTGAAAGTCCTTGGACATCTTCAAGTATTCTATATTGGAAACATTTGACTGTAAGAATGGATTTTTTAAATATACATCTTTCAATGTTGAAATCTTTATTACATTACATTTATAACATTTTAAATAGAACAAGGAACATTTTAACCAAAATTATATTGACTCAAGTTTGCTAAAAATGGTAGTTCACAAACTATCAGTTACATCGTTTCGGAAACCACAAGTAATAACAGTAACTTCGCAACAGCAACTAGTATCAACCAATATTAGCAGTCAAAAAGTTGATTTTAGTTGCTCAATATCAACTTCTAAAAAAAAACTTTGTAGCAATTGTATGAAAAGGGGCCCTATTCAGTGGAGGAGAACTAAATATGGCCATAATCGTCAGAATAATAATAAAAATAAACTACTGTATGCTTTGATCGAACTACATAATCATTATGTAAATATGTATATTATTAATATATGAATAATTTCAAATTAAATTGTTAGTTAAATAATAGTTTAAAATTAAATATTCATCATTAGTAGGTACATACAAAACCAAAAAATCATCACTGAATTTATAAAAATAAAACTACTCAAATTTTTAATTTGACCTAATCATATTTTACAAATATATATAATATTCAAGCTAAGTTTTTATTTATTTCTATAAATTAAACATTTGTTTCTTTATTTTTATATTGATTTACGAGAAGTGGTGTAAATTGGATCCAATTTCTGATGATGCAGAGGCATATTCTCAACTTATAATTAGCAACACGCCAATTTTCCAATTTCCTAAGTACAATTCTTCCCAATAAACTATATATTTTCCTATATATTTAAATAACAAATAAATTTTGAATTATTTTAGCATTATAACCTTTATTATTATAATATTAATAAAAAAAAAAACAATCAAATTTTGTTTTTAATATGCTGATTTCCTTGGCTTTTGAAAATAATATTTCAGGTATACAAATTTCAATGATTTTCTGGTGGTGCAAAAACATATCTTTTCATCACCACGTTTTAGATGTGGTGTTGCAAGTGTCACATTTGCACCACCCAGTTTACGCCACTGTTTACATGCATTAATCATTAAATAATTTTGAATTTACATTTCTCAATTTAATCATTTTTTATTTACTCTAATATTGCAATTTAAATAATGAGATAATAATTTAGATATAAAAACATATATTTTTCTATCTATTGTTACCTATTCATATTGGTGTATTTTAAGGTTTATTAATTTTTTTATTTTTAAACTGTTATTTGGAAGCAAATATTCTCAATAAGTGACACCCTAGTTAAACTCGCCTAGACACTATGTTTTTGTTGAAATCTATCAAACACTTAAAAATTAGTTTTCTTATTTATTCAGAACTCTTTATATTAATTGAATTATAATTAGAATTGTAAGTAAATTATTTGATTTTTATGTGTAAAGTATTGAAAGCAATTTTTGGGGAAAATGCGACATAAGTTAGAAATAATCTAAAATTTGTTGAAATTTGTAATATAGAATTTTTTTTGTTACTTTTTACCTATTCCAAAAAATTTTGTTTTATTTTCTTATCATACTTTATGTAATTATTATTTTAATTTATGGGATAGTACTCTTACTAATATTAGTTCCTATTTTTCAATAATCGTTTAAGAATATGAATAAATATGAATATATAATGTTATTTTAATTTTTTTAAACATACCATAATTTAACGAAATTCTTTAATTATATTTTATAGATTCATGTTATTAGTTTTCTTAATAAAATGATGACATTGCTGACTTTGAGTCAACAACAACTTGGTAAGGTAAAATGACAAGCATTACAACAACTATTGATTATATATATTGTTTTTTTAAATTGTTTTATAATTTGGCAATTAATAAAGTAAACACAATTGTTGTTTTTTTTTTTAGTCATATTAAGATAAAGTAATGATAAATATTTATATCATTAATCACATTTATAAACTTATTTATTTTATTGTATTTTTATTTAGTTTTATATTATATTTCACTATAGTCCTTATTTATTTTTAACACCTAGTAAATATAATTTTTATTAAATTATTTATTTTATGTTTATTTTAAATACCAAAGTTTTGGTTTATGTCTTTAAATTTTGTCTGTAAAACTTTTAGATATTTAACACTTATTGCTTTTTGTTAATTGATGAGCCTTTTTTTTTTTTTGTTCCACTTGTTTTTGTTTTTTAATAAGCCAACTATTATTCAATAAAAAGTAAAAAATTTTATGTGTATATTCTTAAATCTTATTAGTTACATTTAGGCAAGGTTTACATGGTGCTCAGTTCCTAAGTGTTGGTAAAAGTTTTATATTCTACCTATATGTTTTTAATGATTAAGTTGATAGCATACATTTGATTAAAAAACGATATTAAACATTAATATCACAGACACCTATAATAGTCAAAATTAAATTCAAAAGAATCCATGATTAGATTGAAAGAGTCGAAGTAGCTTGTTATTTTTCAAGTGTTTAGGTTTACAAACAATAATTATTATGAATAACAAATTAGGCAAACAGGACTAGCATAGTTAGGGGGATTCCTTAAAATTGATTATTTCGATTTTTAATCTCAAATAAATGGCAGTTCTAATTAAAGAATTTTTTTTTTCGAAACCGCAGAAGTATAAGAAGAATTCGTAAAAATTGACTTCGTGTTGTCTAGTGGTAATATTGTCGGTTGTGGAAGTAAGCAACCATGGAGTCAATGACCATCGACCCAGTTATATCTCCGATAAGACGTGTGATACTGACGAACACGAATATATTTTGTGCTAGCCATCGGTTTTTGTGTTCTTCAATTTTTATTTTTTTATTGCGATAAAATTTGTACTCCTTTTTCAGGAATCGATTAACCAACGAACAGTTCGAAATGGTAAATTTGAATTCTTTATCTAGTTTTTCTCTTATATCGCATTCGTTGTTTACTGGTGAATAATACCTGTAATGGAATAAAATAATATAAATATATTTTATTCAACATTCATTTGCTGATACGTTTTTTTCTCTTTTCTAGTGTTCGGTATTGGTTATTGGCGATATGCATGTGCCATTTCGCAGCAGTGGACTTCCGGCTCAGTTCAAAAAACTACTGACACCTGGTAAAATACAACATGTCTTGTGCACAGGCAATCTATGTACGAAAGAAATGTATGAATTTTTAAAATCGATTGCCAATGATGTGCATGTCGTGCGTGGTGATTTTGATGAAGTAATGTGTATGCAAACTTTTAGTTGATGTTTCAATGTTTTCAAATTTATTTTTGTTTTTTAGAATCTCAATTATCCAGACCAAAAGGTAGTAAATGTTGGACAATTTAAGGTTGGTCTATGCCATGGTCATCAAGTGATACCATGGGGAGATCCTGAATCGTTAGCTTTACTACAAAGACAATTGGATGTAGATGTTCTAGTATTTGGTCATACTCATAAATTTGATGCATTTGAACTTGGAAACAAATTTTTCTTAAATCCTGGTTCTGCTACTGGAGCTTTCAATCCGTTGAATCCGTAAGATTTTAATATTTTAATTTTCTATTTCCTATTAGTATATTATACCTAATTGATTACAATTAATGTTAATTCAGGAAATATTCTAGTGTCCATAAAGTATATCTGTCATATTAAGTTTTTCTTATCTTTTGTTTTTATGGAATTATATTATTTTATTTTACTTTATGATATTTTTTTAAATAAATCTCTGAGAACCTATGAGTTATAAACAACTTAAATTTAATTTAATTGATTTTTGTCATAGTATTTTAGTCCAGCAATTCCTAAACTTTTTACCTGGTAGAACTTTATTTTAGACTAATTTTAATCCCAGTACCCTTTAGCAAATACCACAATGAGCATGCAGTATGCATGATAAATTAACTAAAAACCACTACTATAATCTTAAGTAGAATCTTTCCATTATTAGTATAAAAATATATTCTGAACCTAAGGAATTAATTTGATATTGCATTGTTATAAAATGTACCTTTTATTTTTTTCTTTGTAAATATTGATCAGTAGAAATAAATCAGAAAAAATCATAAAAGAAATATTTTATTAATGTTTTTTAAATACTAAAAAAAAATGTTAATATTTTGATCAAACAAGTACAATTCATAACCTTTAAATAACATTGAATAAGTGTAAGAAATTTTGTATTCTTTAATTATTATTATGACAACTTTTATGAACTTAATTAAATTTATTTTATCTGTTATACATAATTATAATAATTATGTTTGTGATAATAATTATAAATACCAGTTGTACTATTTATTGTAGAGATGCTTATCATTTTTATTTTTCATGAAATAAAATTACTTCTATTAAATAATAAACTAACTTAATTTCGTTTTTTTTTTCAGTGATATTATTCCTTCATTTGTGGTGATGGATATTCAAAGTTCAACTGTAGTGTCATATGTCTATAGGTTGGTAGATGATGAAGTAAAAATTGAAAAAATACAATATACAAAAAAATGAACTGTGATGTCTTTTATAAATAATTTCATGTTCACATATATTATTTTTATACTGGCTAAATTTGTTATAATTTATAATATTATTCGTACACTTATTTATTCATTGCAATTTTTATAGACTATAAAATATAGTTTTAATTAATTTTTAATTATCTATTAATTATACTTTTACTATATAAACATCCCATTATCTGTAGTTATGTTTCCATTATTACACCGTTTAGTATGTTAAATTGTACATAGTTAATAAGTAAATTGAATCTATTAATATTTTGTATTTGATCAACTTTAAATGAATTAAAATATTATATTTATTTACTGATTGTTATGGTTTAGTTTTCTTTTCAACAATCATCTTTTTCCATAAATCAACAAAAAATATTTTAAAATAATTTTTATATTATTTTGACATTATTTTATACATTTTTTATCAGTTTTGATACCAATTTTTGTTTCATCGTAGTTATTTAAGGAAAATATAACAAAACTGCTCAATTTTTGCTAAATTTTTGGTTACAAAAAATGTTCTTAAAGCATAATTTTTTCCAAGAGCAGAGTAGGAAAGATATTGATGCTATAAATTGTCTGATAACTAAAAGTTTTGACAGCAAAAAATTAACATATGAACTCAATAGTTATAAGTATATTTATTACTTATTGTTTATTTATTACTTGTAAAATTAAATGGGTTAAAGGTAATAATCATTTTATTATTTACATTTATTAAACTATTATGAATGGTATTAAAATACAAGAAAAACATTTGTTATGGCTTAACATCTTAGCAGTGCTTATAATGCACCTTTGGAAAAAAAAATAATAGTACTTAAAATCTACACTAAAAATAATTAAAATAGCGGTGTTAACACCATGACATGACCAACAAGATTAACAAAACCATGATCTCTGAGAATAATATACTCTAATATTTTATTGTTTGTTCATACGAGTAAGATAGTAAGAAACTAATAGAATGTAGTATTTTATTTTAAATTTATACAATTATGTTCTGATTTAGATATAAGCTTAAATAAACTTAATAGTCACAGAGTCTGATTAACAAATGTTGAATCCAGGGATATAGAAAAAAAAGAAGCCTCATATAAAGTTATTAGTTATTTTTCTTAAATATGTTTATTTTATTTTATAAATATATAAATTGAATCTTAAAATGTTACACTTGATCCTAACTCATCAATAATGTCAATATTATAATCCATAATTGAACAATGCATGGTTAAATATATTTCTAGCATTGTCTCAATGTTGGGAAATAAATATTTTATGTTCATCATTTATATTGAGGGTCATCCCTAAAACTTGATTAACATATTAATAATTTGATTGTTTAACTAAACTTTAAACAATATTTTTAACTATTGGAGTGTAGCAATTCGTCTACAAAGATTTCTTTATCCAAGTCGTCAGGAAAATATCAATAAATTTGACATATACTTGATAATATCCACATCTTTTATATTGCTTTTAAACAACAAACTATATTTTTAATTTTTAATTAAGTGCCATTACTTTTTTTTAAGTTCAAAAATTGATTTATTACATATTATACTATGTGTATTAAAAATAAAATTTTCTCTGGGCTATCAGTTAACAATTTTACTGTTTGTATCATTCAAATATTTATTTTTAGGTGCTTTCACTTTTTCTTTTCAAAGAATAATCTGCAATGTGAGTAATGTCTAAAGTGGATGCTTTATTTTCATATATTGCAAAATCTTCCTAGACACCTTGAATAAAATCAATTAATGGAGTATAAAAATGAAATTTAACTAATACATCATTTTAGATGATTGTAAATTTTTGCCAACACTATCATCAATAAAATTGATTTCCATGTTACATTTAAAACATCATTATATAAATGTAATATAATTAATAAATAATTATCTAAAACCGTAGACGCGGTCCGTGGTTAATGTGTCGATCTCAAAGATAATAAGCCCGACTTCAATAAAAATTAACAAGCAGGAAATCAAATCGAACAACAAAGGCAACTCAGTGAAATATCTGGAACTATTCCTGAATGAAAAACTAGACTGGAAAATACACACTTATAAAAAATTAAGCCAAGGGTACACTAAGCTGAGAATGAGAAGGTACTAAACCATATTAAACCACAGCTCAACCATACTGATGAAATGCTCTTTACTTCTATACACAGCAATAATAAGACCTCTAATAACCTACGAATGCCCGGTATGGGCAGCAGCTTCACAAACAAAAATTTAAAAACAACAAACCTTGCAAGATAAATTTTTAAGAATAGCTCTAAAGGCCGCATGTTCATGAGAAACAAATAAAGATAACACGTAATGTATGAGTTATAACGGTTTTTATTATTCTTGTTTTTAAAAATTGTATAATTTTATAAAAAAAAAAATAAAAAAATTAAAAACATATTGGTCTTCATACAATTATCAACTAACGAAAAATATGAAGCCGCTCTGTTTTCTAATTATTCTAATTGAAGGTCAGGTGACTAATCATTCATGTACTCGCCTAAATCAGTAACTAAATCATAACTGGTTATCAATAATAATCGTTAGTTAAAATAAAATGTATAAATTCGGTTTATTTCCAAAAACTCCTTCCACGTTTTTTTTCTTCCGAGAACGATGGTACATTGTTTTAATGTTTAAAACAGTGATATAGCAATATTGATCATCTACCAGGCCCGTATTTAAAAATTTGGCACCTCCGGGCATATAATTTATGCCCCCCCCCAAAAAAAATAAATAAATTATATTAATATAACACTTATTATTTCGTCCATAATCGAGATTCTTTAATATTAAAATATAACTTATAAATGAAAATCATTTAATACTTTTTTTAACTAAAAAACTATAACATAATAAAACATACAATTTCCTTTTTTTTTAATTAACAAATTATAATATAATAAAAATACATTTTTTTTTAAAATTTACAAATCATAACATAATAAATCAAAACATACTATTTTCTTTTTTTTTTTTATTGTTTTATTTTTTTTTTTCATTTGGTACATCAATTTTAAAATTAATTTTACTAAAAATTTTGCCACCCCTCAGATTTGACGGTCCCGGGCATGTGCCTACCCGTGCCTCCCCTAAATACTGACCTGTCTATTTCCGTATCTCATCCAACCGTTGAATCACTCGTTGTTTGAATTTTCGTGAAACGGCGAGTTGATACCTGAATTGCTGTTTTGTCATTACATTTTTGTAAAGTCCTTAGTTATTAACAGCTGTTTCGAGTTCACATTTTATACAATTCAAAGAATAATTTTGAAAATGTTTCGATGCACTTGTTTCAAATTGCAGTCAGAAGGACGTCTCACTTAAAATGTAGGTACCTATTTTATAAAATCGTCTTAGACTGCAAGAAAAAAAAATGTTATGAATTTTCTGCATCACTTCAAATCTTTATACTTACGTAGTTGTTAAATTCGGTATATTATGAATTTTTTGCATCACTTCGAATCGTCGTACATACGTAGTTGTTAAATTCGGTATATTGTACCTATGTAGAAAATGTAAATTTTCCTTCGCATCTTTGCGTACATCACCGTACAAAAAATGATTCCAGTAGTAACCTGTTATTAATCACGGAGCATTGGTACAATCGATTTTTTGTCGACACCGTGTATTATGCTTATATTAACACTTCACACTTGTATTGTAATTTATTGATGCCTGAAAGGGGGGGGGGATCGTCACAATAACAGTGAGACGTTGACCGTTGGTCTACTTCTAGCGACTCGACGGGTTGAGAGGGCATAGGTACAGTGGTGACAGTTAATCCGGTGAGGTATGGGATGGTGGGTAGGAGGGTGTCTCGCTCATTGTTTACCGTCGCCTATTGGTTCTCGGGATTTTCATCGAATTTTCCCCTGTCGCGTCGGCGACTAATAACAATTTCGCGATTCGTCTCACACTGGCCGGGCGGCACGCGTCCGCTTTCGAACGTCTACGCCGGCGGACTTCCACATCCCTGTCCGCGTAAACGTATTTTGCCGATCGCGAACACTCCGGATCGAAACGAACACACGCGAAATCGGTAACTCGTACGACGTTTGACGTAAGTATACGCACCTACGTGCAATGCGTGCGTGTGTCGTGTATGAACAACGATGTTCGAACTTGAACGACTGTCGCACGCGGAAGCCTAACCTTCGAGAAACCCGGTCTGACCGGATCGTTTTTTTTTTTAAAAATTTCGCGTCTGCTCCGAGTGTAAGACGCGCGCGATACTACCTGTCGCGTCAAGGCGTACCGCAATTGTCGTTCCCTCGGCTCTGTTTGCCGCTCGATTACTTGGCCGCAGTCGATTCCGTCGGCGCGCGAGGCGAGGAGAGAAAACAATCGAACAATTTTTAATCCGAACACGGAAATATCCCCGCGTCGACTGTGGCGTCGGTCCCTTCTGCGCCAGCCCTTCGGCGTACGTCTTCGCGACCGAAACGCCAGAGTGCACGCGTGCTTCGGTGCTTTAGTGTACGTTTTTTTATTTGCTCATCATGAACCGGATGGCCAAGGACCGGTACTCGGCGAAGTCTCTGTCGCTGGAGGAAAAAAAGTACCTGTTGGCCGTGCAACGGGGAGACGTGGCCAACGTGCAAAGGTAAGTGTCGCGAGCTCGTACGCTAAAACTACTGTTATCGAGGCATTTTGCGTTCGTTCCCAGGCACCGGCCGCCAGACCGACAACCACCGGTACCACGTTGTATCGAACCTCAAAAATGTGTTCGAAGGGGGGGGGAAGAACCCGTGTTGAAATCGTTCGTTCTCAAATATTAAAATATCCACATGTCAAGATATTCTGACATTGATATAATAATATTCTTTTATAACTTATTAATTTGGAATGTTTTTTTAAATTTTTTATATGAATACCGAATACCAATACATAGGAATAAAGAACCAATCTGGTTCTAATATTGTAATCAATCGGTTGTTGGAATACATTTTTTTCTGGGTCTAATGTAATATTAATAATACTATTGATTATCAGTAATAATAACCGAGACATAAATTCTTAATTCTTATTGATCAAAAACAGGAACTACGAGTATAACTGGACATACCAAAAGATACTACAGGTATTGGTATCTGCTGTTTACCCATTTGTGGTAATTGATTTGATGTTTGATGGCCTTTAAAGTTCTTGTAAAAATTGAAATTTTACATTTAAGTATTATGTTTTTTTGCACGCTAATACGGTATCATATAACTCCATGATTCATTTTTGTCAATCCCGAATACAACCGAGGCATCTTTGACATTATTTAAGTCTCGTTACAGCAGTAGAAAACCTCCCTTGACGTTACGTAGCACCAGATTCTTATATACTCATCTCTTTCGACGTTATCGCCTTAGACATGCGTCTATATTAATAAATACTTAAATACGTATCTTAAGACACCGAAGTAATCAGCAGAGACACATTTTTAAACGCATTCTGTAAAAATGTCAAAATTTCTCTTGCAGTCTGTAATTGCATTTCGAATTTTTATTATATATTCTGTAAATAATTTGAAACCGTTTTCAGTTTTGTTATAAAGAAAAAATATCATAAGATCCATAATAAACAATAATTTATTGTTTTAATGGTTCCTCTGTGTCTAAAATACAATACATCTGTGCGTTCTCTTAGACGACTGTATACTTAAGTAGATTCGTATGCGAAGATTTTTCAGAAATAAAGTATGTAGGTACATACATTTATACATTACATCTAGTAAAATCAACGGCGAGGACCTTTCAGAATTAGTTGTTAATGATGTTTATGATAAAATTATACAAAATTATACTTTACACCTTAACAGGCGTGGATCTAGAAATGAAAAAAAAAAGAAGTTAGTAAAGTGAGTTACTGCATAATTCGTTGCGCATGTCGATTTGTACGAAGTCTTTCTTTTGTCTAATTTTTTAAATATTTTAAGTATCTATGTCCGATATGGTTCTACTTAATGTTTAAAGGGGGGGAGAGGCTTCAGCCACCATAGATCCCCTATTCGCCTCTGCACGTTAATAATTAAGATATGATTTTATATTATGTACATCACATTGCGGCGAGAAGTATAAAATCCGCGATAAATTTATACTATCACCGGTGTATACCTATATTCAAATTACTAGAAATGTGTAGATACTATTACTACTTTTTGAAATTTTGTCAATTTCATCAAATGATTTGTGGATTTCGAATAACGTTGCTACAATTAACCGTTAAGTGATAACTAGATAACCAATTGATATCTGACTACTACATACATATGTAATAATAGGTGAATATTCACCTTGTATTTGGCAAGTACGTTTCGTTAAGAATACTATTAATAATGTTAAAAATAAAAAATTATTATTAAGTAGCAGTGGTCACTACACTTCGTAATTTCCCTTATCTTATAATATAAAAAATCTTCATACGTCATAGATACCTAATAGTGTTTTGTATTTAGATTATTTTAACGACATTCGCTATTTTTTCTTAATCTCAAATATTAGTTCATGCTGTAGTACTTAATTATTATTTTTAAAAGATTAAAGTTTTATTTTTACATACTACAAGTAATAGTTTATTGATATTAAGTGTTTTATGAAATGCTGATAGATATCGCATAAAAATTAATACGAATGTAGCTTCAGTAGAACCCGACCTGAGAAATGCACTTTTATAAATATTATCTTATGTGGATTACTTGCAATTGTAGAGTGCTTGGCGGATTATTATTTATAATCGAACTTTGATAATGGTATATTTTTTAGAAATTTTTCGGGGCCAAGCGAAAGCATATATTATAACGTCTACTAAAGTTTTTAAGACCTATATAGGTTAGGTTAGGTTTATAGTATAAAATAGTGTATGTAGTATATACTACATACACTATTTTATTATTTGTATGCAAATAATTTAGTTATTAGATTTTTAATAAATACATATTTAAGGATTGTTTCTCTCATGCATTGTTATTCGTCAACAGATCATTGATTAATATATTTGAAACAAGTATATTACATAGTGAATAGTATAGGTATATATAACATATGGTCCATATAATGCTGGATAATTAATTAAGTAAATTATACTATTAAAAAGTATTTAGTTTTATTTTTTCAATTGTTATGTTTTGAATGCAAAAATATATTTATATATTTAAATGAATATATCCCACTAGGATTTTTATCTGCATAGATTAAAGCATTTTTAACAACTATTATAGATACTCGTAAACAAGTTGTGTAAAAGTTATGTACTCTTGTAATGTACTACATTTTAAAAAGCTGTGTCATATCGTAGCTCTCTTTGTTGTTTTTAAATTATAAAATGTATTACTCATCGTCTCTGGTAATATAATATAATTTATACAATTATATTGATAGGTGCTATATAACTATATACATACATTTCAATTATGGAAATTTACACCTTAAAATATGAAGATTTATTTTACGATTTTCTTTGTATGTAAAATTGATAATTGTAATCAAACTCGCTGTTGTCAAATTAATTTGTATATAATTATTGAATGGCACATAAAAAAAATAAAGGTATCTTTTCTCTACATCAACTAATTATTGTTATATTTATAATATACAATTTATGTTTAAAGAGCATCTACGTTAGTATATGCGATAAGACCAGAAAAAAAATAAACGTTCAGTATTGGATATACAATTAAAAAAATTAGCGTGCATAAAATAATAATTAAACAAAAAATAAATATATATTAAATATTTATATACAAGTTTTACGTGAGTCCTCTAATAATTGATTTTTTTTAATTTTATTTTACGGAAGTTAACCCAAACTGGTTTTTATGAGTTGAGAGACATATTTATGGTACATACATAGTTGCCTAAGCATAATCTTGTTGAGTCAAAATTATTTTTAATAATAAACATTATTTAATAGTTTATTTGTAAAATTATTGTTCTCTTTGTCTTAAAAGCTTTGGATGAAGTCATACTATTCGAAACCCTCGATCATTATGCATTAAACGAATTAATTATAATATAACAAAATACAACGGTAACGCACTCACGCAATCACATTTAAATTGCATTCATTAGATATTCCTATGATCTGCACATTTATTGTAAGACTATTGTTTTGAATTAGCATAACCGTGTTGTCCGTTTTGTTTTAAAATTAATTGGATTGTATTAGATTATTACTACCACGAGTTCTTCAATTCCTACAGTCGCATATACAATTGCGGGATAAATTAAAATTTGCCAATGACCAATGAGTCAAGGTCGTACGTGTTGACGTAATGCGAGTAATACTATGTACCTAAACATATTAAAATACATATGATGATAATCCAAGTGTGTACGGAAAACACTATACGGGTCGGTGTGCATCTCTACCTATTTACCTAATTACCTATTTTTACTGAATATATATAATACATTATGCACCGAACCAAATGTTTTATTTTTAATTTTTATGCAATGCGCTTGTTCAGTGGATATAGTATTATTCTTTTATATACTACATCATTGTGAATATACCACTAGATTATAATCAATGGTAAATCGAGAGGTTTGGGTGTTTGGATATGTGTGAAACTGTAAACAAAAAAACTTTTCGGTGATTGTTATTCATACCTCATTTCAAGTATTCTAAAAATAATTAACAATATTACAAGATTTATATAAATAGTAATTAAATATTAATTTTTTTTATTGATTATTGTATATATTCAGATGCATGTATGAAACATACAATTTTTAATTATTTAGTTGCTCACAAGTAGGTGTTCCATATCGTGATCAAATTGGAATTAGATTATATTATGCTAGATATTATTATATTTTCATAATATATTATTTACTTACGAGGTGTGTAAATAAAGTAATGAGACTGATAGCGTAGCTAGTTATCTGGAAGTACTAATGGTTTCCGATGAAAATGTTTGTAGATAATCATGTAATGAACCTTCAGTACGAGTTTGAACTTCGTAGTGTCACGTTTTGGTCTGTGGCGATTATATTCGTAAACCAGTTTTTTTTAGTACGTTCCAATAATGGATGACGACAATTTTGAGCAACGATGTGCTATCCGATTTCGTCTTGAACTTGGTCACAGTGCGTCAAAAACTTTTCAAAAGCTTCAACAAGCTTATGGAGAAAGTGTGCTTTCAAGGGCCCAGGTTTTTAGGTGGTTTAAAGCATTTTCAGAAGGCAGCGAGTTGATTGAAGATGAACCTCGCAGTGGAAGACCTTCAACTGCAAAAAATGATGAAAACATCATCAGAGTTCGAGAACTTGTCCGATCCGATCGTCGATTGACGGTCAGAATAATTGGAGAACAGTTGGGATTATCTTACACCACCGTTCATCAAATTTTGACCATTGATTTGGAAATGAGAAAAATCTGCGCAAAAATGGTTCCGAAAATTTTGTTACAAGACCAAAAGGACAACAGGAGGGACAGGTGTCTCGATTTCTTGGAGCAGATTGAAAATGATCATTCTTTCTTAGAACGTGTCATTACTGGAGACGAGTCTTGGATTTTCGAGTACGACCCAGAAACAAAGCGCCAGAGCCAAGAATGGCACACATCAGCTTCACCGAGGCAAAAAAAAAAGGAAGAATGAGCAAGTCAAAAATCAAA